GCGCTAGTCAGCACACTAGCCAGCACGCTTGCCAGCGCGCTAGCTAGCACGTCAGCCAACGCGCCAGCCAGCTCGCCAGCCCCGTTAGCTAGCACGCCCACAGCAGTACTAGCCAGCTTGCCGCCAGCAGCGCCAGAGCTTGTAGAGTTGCGCGGAAGGTACAGTGACGGAAACAAATTTCCGTATGTTTTGCACTCATTGGGTTTCTTAGGCTGAAAAAATATAGAATGACCACAATAAATTAAGCTTGAATGTTTTTATTGTGGTACGATTTGGGAGGTGTAGACTAGTGCTATGCCTCTTAGCTGCATACCAGTGCTGTGGTCGGTGTCTGCCGAAGGCCACAAAGCGGGCTAGGATGCTGAGAGGGTATGCGAGATCTCGACGAGTGCAAGTCATCAGGTGCATGAGGCAACCCACCAGCTCTGCGTAAGGACCACTAGGCTCTACAGCCTCCTCCAGAATTGGAGCAGAGAGTCAGTGGTCTACTGGCAGAGGGGTGGGCTGTGCGGAAGAGAACTGAAGGCCGAACCTCTGAAGGACCTGGCATTCCAAGTGTGACTGTGTGAGAGTGATGGTGCGCGCTGCTCTGTCCCTAGAGATATGCAAGCCAAGGTAGCGGCACAGCTCTCCTAGGTCAGTGCAGGTGTGTCTTCTCAGCAGATCGACCTTCACGGAGGCCAGCGCGTTCCTGTCTGCAGTAGCAAAGACCAGATCGTCTATGTAAACAAGGATGTAGAACGGATTCTGGCCGGAGCGGACGAAGAGCGAGGGGTCCGCAGATGGCAGAAAGAACTGCAGGTCAGCAAGTGTAGCACGCAGCGTGTCGTGCCACTCACAGGGCGCCTGGCGCAGGCCGTAGACAGGGCGCCAAAGGAGCCACTCGGTACCAGGGGGAAAGGTACCAGAGACGCCCTGGGGGCGGCGCAGGGAGACGTGCTCGTGTAGACTGCCCTAGAGGAAAGCTGTGGAGAAGTCGCGTGAGTGCAGCTCGTAGTCACGCTGTGCTGCTACGTGTAATAGTACTCGAAGAGTAGTCATTTTCGGGGTCGGGGCGAAGGTCTCAAAGAAGTCAACCCCCTCACGCTGACTGAAGCCATGAGCAACGTAGCGCGCCTTGAAGACATGCGGCTCTCCAGGAGGGCGCTTCACCTTGAAGAGCCATCGGCCATCGACTACGTTCACCCCAGGTGGGGGAACTGCGTCGACAAAGGTATCAGTGGATCTCCAAGATGCCATCTCCTGCTCCATGACAGCTATCCACTGAGAGGCCCAGGGTCCCGAGGTGGCCTCGGGGTAGTTCCGAGGGGTCGGGATGTCAAGGGCATCGGGGTTACCCTTAGGGACTAGCAGCATGGAATAGAGATAAGGAGCGGCCTCTGACAGGAAAGAAAAGCTCGTACTTTCTGTCCTCTTGGACGTCACTGCCAAGGGCAGCCACACCCCCGACGGACGGAGGGCAGGCAGGCCAGAGACCAGAGCGGTGGCATAGTCAAGGCGGTAGGTAAGGCAGCGACAGCAACGACAGGAGCGTCAAGGCTCAAGACAGGAACAGACGGGTCGGTAACGAGGGAGGCAAGGACAGGAGGAACCAGGGGACGCACGGCACGGAGGAAGTAGGAAAACGGTGGTGGGGCCATAGCGAGGGACGAAGAAGGACGAGACAGGAGGAGCGGAGGAGCAGGAGACGCGTGAGAGCGAAGCAACATAGGGTGAGAACGTGGAACAGGGGAAAGGTGAGACGAACATGAGATGGGCATGAGACGAACGACGAGCCCAGACGTGAGACGGAGGAGTCGGGTCAGGAGAGAGGGGAGGAGACACACGAGGAGATCGGGGAGGGAAACAAGCCTGAGAAGAGTCCACGTGAGGAAACATAGGGCCGTAGACCGGCAGAGGAGAAGGCGGCGGCAACTGAGGAGGCACCCACGGGCGGTCAGGAGAAGGAAGGCCGAGGCGGCGAAGAGCGGACACTAGCGGCGACTGCGATGACTGCTGCGCGGCGCCAACACCAGAACCTCCAGCAGGACCACAGCTCCCTCAGGGAAGTCCCACAGCAGCAACCCTAGAATGGGAACCTGCTCCAGTACCTGCTCCAGCACGCTCTCCAGCACCCCCAGAACGCACAAACCCCAGTGGCGGTGACGATGGCGGCTGCGACTGTTACTGCGGCGGCGACGGCAGCTGCACAGGCGGCTGTGGCTGCGGCTGTAACAGCAATGGCGGCAACAGGGGAGGAGAGACCGAGGCGGGGACAAGCGGGGGAAGGGACTCTGCCGAGCCGCGAGAGTCAGCAGACCCCTCAGCATGGACAACCGACGGGAGGGGGGGTACGTGAAATACACCAGACGGGGCAGGGCGGAGAGGGGGGGGAACAGGGGCGACCTGGGGAAGGGGGGGAACCAGGAATTGGTGGGGGGGGGGGTGACCGGGGGACCACGGTGGGGAATGCAGTGGTAGAAGGAGACGGACTCGTCAAAAGTGACGTCACGAGAGTGAAAGAACCGGTGAGAAGGCAAGTGCCAGAGGACCGAACGTGAGCAAGGCAGCCCCAGACGTGGAACGCAGACACGTCACCAGGAGACCCAGTCCATAGGAGAGTCGGTGAAACCGGCGGCCGCTGAGGGTGCGGCCACAGGTGAAGCTGGTGGGTGGCGTAGCGAACGCGAGTGGCCACAGACAATGGGGTGCACCGGCATGGATCATGGAGGTACGAGCCACCTCCATGACCAAGCCGATGTATCGCTCAGCGACCCCATTCTGCTGCGGGGAGTCCTGCCGGGTGTACGTCAAGGTGATGCCCTCCGCACGACAAAAGCAACCAAGGCAGCCAGAGGCGAACTCACCACCACGGTCAGAGTGAAGACGCAACACAGGGAGACCTCGGTGCACAAGCGCAGAGACAAGCCACGGGATAAGAACGTCGAGCACGTCGGCCTTCCTCTCCAGGGGAAATATGGTGGTGTAGCGTGTGTAGTCATCAACAAGCACTAGGAAGTAGCGCTCGCGACGTGGCCCATGGACGCGGGCGAGGCCCCAGACATCCATGTGCAGGGTCTGCAGTCGTGCAGAGGTGGGGGGGAACAAGGAGGAGTGAGGGGCACGGCGGAGCCGGCCCTCGATGCAAGGGGTGCACGGAAGCATTGCCGAGGGGGGGAGCGCAGGGAACAACTTAAGACAAGACCGTGCTGAGACATGTGACGGAGACGTGTGAGGGTGGGGTGACCTAGGCGGTGATGCCACTGAAGCGACGGGTCAGTAAGCGACCGACACGAGCAAGCCGCAGCAACCTGGGTAGACACTCCAACCTGGGTCTGAAAGGGCGATTGCGGCAGGGATGGCAAGCGGCATAAGCGTAGTGTGGTCCCGAAAGAAACACTGAGACCAGAGTCGAGAGTGAAGGAGAGCGCGGCAGTAGAGGCTGGATGTAGAGGAGCTAGGGTGGATCCAAGGCTATACAAAGCAAAGGGTCCTATGCTTGATGCAGCAGGAAAGCCTACACTAGGCACACTGGGCACACCTACACTAGGCAACACGGGGTAATAGGAGCCAGTCACACTAGAGTCATCGACATACAGCACATACAAAGCAGAGCGAATCTCATCCTTGTCCATATCAAAGATCCTAACACCACGGCAAAGTAGACTGTGCCTGTCGCGGAGGTTTGGCGCGGGGCCGAAGCGGAGACGAAACAGGTTGTCTAGTTGACTGAAACAGCGAGTGGGGGTATGGCTGATCTTACCGCACACGAGGCTGCAACGAGGACCGGTCTGGAGCTGGTACTGGCAGCACCCGTCACTCGCACCACCACCCGACGACGAGCTACGGGCATGACCACCACCACCACCACCAGCGCCAGGCCACCCAGGCGGGAGGCGGCCGACCCTCCGCTGCGACTTCTGCTGCTGCTACTACTGTTGGTCAAGGTGTGGTGCTTGCTGCTGCTTGTGCTGGGGCTGGTGCTCCGAGGCACCAGCCCCAGCCCCCTCGTCTGTACTACCACCAGTGGACGAACCACCTCCACCACCACCTCCACCCCCTCCTCCACTCCCCTCGCCACGCCCAGCCTTGGGGCGGCGAGCCTTACCATAACGAGACTGCGCTGCTGCCACCGCGGCAGCGGTCTCTGCAGCAGGGGCTATCTCAGCTACTGCCGCAGAATCGTCAGAGTAAGTGCAGTGGGCGAGGGCACAACCTTGAAAGATAGGGATTGGCGCAGAACCACTAGACTGGGCGATAGAGCGCTAACGGGTCTCTATGGCAAACAGGGTGTTGACAAAGTCGGAGAGGGTGAGGTCAACGGGGTGCAGAGTAAGAAAGTGGTCGCGGGCAGTGGCAAGGCGGTCGGGGAGGCGGGTGGCAAGCAGGTAAAGGGTAGAGCAGATAGGGGGCTAGAACACACGAAGCTGGGCCTCAGTGCAGGCTGCGCGCCAGCTAGCGTCGAGCGTGCGCACGTGCGTGGCCAGGTCAGCGATAGTGGGGAAAGACGCGAGATCAGGGAAGTGCATGGGAAGGATCAGGCGGCCGGCAGAGGCAGAGGATGGGGTGGAGTAACGCTCGACAACAGCCTCTAGGAACTCCTACGCAGTCCTGACCGACTTAAAGCGGGGGCGCTCCGACAGGGGTAGGGCATGGCTAATCGCAAGCTGAGCAACAATGTCACGTGACAGCCAGACAGCACGGGCAAGGGCAGCAGCGGCGGTGGACTCACAGTCAGCAGTCCTGGGGTCAGCGGGGAGAGCAACAGGAAGGTCAAGGCAGGGGAGCGTACTGTCAATGTGGACGACTAGGGAGTGGCCGTCCTGCTGCTGACCAGTGAGATGACGGCGGAGATCGACGAACAAGGAGTGAAACTCAATCAGCTGACCCTTTGCGTCAAAGCGCAGCACTGATATCGCCATGAAGGCCGCTGCAACCGCGAACAGACGGCGACAGAGGGACGAGGAATGATGGAAAGGAGTGCTGTATGGTAGAGTGCGGTGGGGCGCGGTGCAGTGCGGTGCTGAGCGATGCGGCACGGTGGGACGCGGTGCAGGACGGTAGAGAGGGCAGGTGAAGTGGGCGGGGACCGGGAACTACGGCGGCTGAGCAGCTGGGAGACGGGGCCGCGGGGTAGCTGGGCAACGGGGCCGTGGGACGGTTGGGTGACGGGGCCGCGGAGCAGCAGGGCGACGGGGCCCGGGTCGGATGGGCAGCGGGGCCGCAGGGCGGCTGGGCGACGGGGCCGTGGCGCGGAGGGGCGACGGGTCGCGGGGCGGCTGGACGACGGGGCCGCGAGGCAGCTGGGATGACGGAGCCATGGAGCAGCTGGGAGACGGGGTCGCGGGGCAGCAGCAGGGACGCAGAGCGCGGCTGGGCGACGGGGCCGCAGGGCAGCTGGGACGACAAGGTCGCAAGGCGGCTGGACGACGAGGCCGCGGGGCGGCTGGGCTACAGGGCCACGGGGTGGCTAGGCGACGGGGCGGCTGGGCGCTACGCGACAAGGCCGCGGGGCCAGCAGGGCAGCTAGGCGTGACAAGGCGGTGCAACGGGGTTGCGGGCGGCTAGGTGCTAGGCGATGGGGCTGCGGGGCCAGCGGGGCAACTAGCGCGACGGGGCGGGGCAACGGGGCCGCGGGCGGCTAGGCGCAAGGTGACGGGGGCCAACTGGGCCACTAATTGTTAGAATATACCATGCCATGCTCTCCTTCACCCTTGACTCTGGCGCTTCTCGGTGCTTCTTCCAGGACTCTACTACTCTCACACCGCTTCCAGCTCCTGCCGCAGTTTCCCTGGCTGACCCTTCCTCCGGCCCTGTCGTAGCTCGTAGCTCCACTACCCTTCCCTGTCCAGCAGTTCCTTCGGGCTCACTTACAGACCTGCACCTCCCCTCATTTTCTAGGAACCTAGTTGGTGTCGGCTGCCTTTAGGACCTTGGCGTCACCACTACGTTCCCTGATCACGAGCGGTACGCTGTCTGTACCGAGGCCGCCACAGGTGCTCCCCTCTCCACGTTCCCCCGGGACCCGGTGTCTGGCCTGTTCACACTGGACACTGCCCCCCCCCCCCCCCCCTCCCCGGTTGTGACGTCTCCCCAGGGGACTGTGTCTCCTCAGGTAGCTACATCTTGCTCGTGTCAGTCGCTCACTCACCCGACACTACTGTGGCACCACCGCCTAGGTCATCCTGCCCTTCCCCGTCTTCGTCATATGTCTCAGCACGGTCTGGCCTCCCTGGATCGTTCCCTGCGCTCCCCCCCTCACCCGCGCCGCCGTGTTCTCCCTGCATCGAGGGCCGGCTCCGCCGCGCCCCTCATTCCTCCTCGTTCCCCCCCACCACCGCACCCTTGCAGACCTTGCACATGGACGTCTAGGGCCCTGCCCAAGTTCATGGGCCGTGTCGTGAGCGTTACTTCCTCGTCCTTGTTGACGACTACCCTCATTACACCACCGTGTTTCCCCTGGAGCGGAAGGCCGACGTGCCTGACGCTCTTATCCCGTGGCTGGTCTCTGCGCGAGTGCACCGCGGCCTTCCTGTTTTGCGTCTTCACTCCAACCGTGGTGGCGAGTTGGCCTCCGGCGTCCTTCGTTTCTGCCGTGCAGAGTGTTAGAATATACCATGCTATGCTAGTTGTGTATATTGTGTTTACATCCCTAGTTGGGTGTACACCTGTGTTGGGGTGTCAATCCAACCCAATTGTGGTTGGAGCCCCCAAACACAAGGACCACAATTGTGGGGGCACCACAAGTGGGTTGGCTAAACCACTGGTGGTACACCACACTTGGACCACCTCCAACTGGTGGTCAACCATATTTGGAAGGAGCCTCCCTCCCTTGTGATTGGTCCTAACCCCCCCTTCCCTTCCAACCTTCCCTTCCTAGCTCATCTCTCTCTTCCTATGTAATGCCTTTCCTTCATCAATAAACTGAACCTTTCTGTTTCTAACATGGTATAGAGCAATAATGGCTCACGCCAACTTTTAAATCCCGATCCTTCCCCACGCTTCCGCCCCGTCCCCTTCCGACGTGCACCTCATTGCCGTCCCCTCCATCGCCGCTGCTAGACTCCTAGCCGCCGCCTCTCAACTAGTTTTCTGTTGGGTGGATTTTCAAAAACCCCCAATGCGCCAAACGCCATAGCTCGCTCGATAGTTGACAGAATTGAGTGATTCGACTTGCAAAAGAACGCTCTTGGTGTCAGCTACAACGTCGTAAAATTTCGGACTGTTTCATCGCTTGGATTGTCAGATATCGCTTTCCGAAGTTTGCACACTTTCCTGGATGTGATCACGAAGTGCTACTGAAATTTCTACCAAGTCCTATTTTCATCAGCTAACTGCCATCTTTCCCCATCTTTTGCCTCCTCACCTGCACCTGCTCATCGCTGCCTTACCACTGCTGCAGCCGTAGCAGCAGCAGCAGAAGCAGCAGCAGCACCAGAAGGAGCAGCAGACTCAGCAGCAGCAGCAGCAGCAGCAGCAGCAGCTGAAGGAGTAGCAGCAGCAGCAGCAGCAACAGCGGCAGCAGCAGCAGTGGCAGCAGCAGCAGCGGCAGCAGCAGCAACAGCAACAGCAGCAGCAGCAGAAGGAGCAGCAGCAGCAGCAGCAGCAGCAGCAGTATCTACAGCCATCCCCATCCTCCCCTCCTCTTTGAGCCGCCGCGGGTCCACCCGCCGCCGCTCCCTCCCGGCCACCGCGGGTCCACCCGCCGTCGCCTTCCTCCCACTCCGTGTCACCAATGTCATCCTTCCCCCCTCCCGTCGACGTCTCGACCCTCGATCATCTCGTGCGCGCTGCCGACAACTCAGCAACCAACTGGTATTCCTTCGTCGGCAGCCTCCACCGCGTCCTCGGCAGTGCTTATGTCCTGCCGTTCCGCCTCCTGGACATCATGCTTGGTCTCCTAGAGGGTGACCTTGGGGACCCGCCGCCTCACCCTGGCGATCCCCCCCCTCTCATTCCCCATCCCGGCGAGGAACCTTCGCCCCCCATAGTACCCGTTGGCACCAGCACTCGCGCTGCCACCGCTGAAGTTGAGCAGCTCTTCGTTACTCAGCGTCGTGAGTTCCTCGTGCTCCATACTGATTACCTGATCGCGTTGGAGGAACACGAGCGGTCGGCAACCCTCCGCACCCAGCATGCCGCTACCGCCGCCGCTTATGCCGCTGACTCTGCGCGATTTGCTGAGCGTCGTCGCGCCTGGCTCGAGGCGGACAGCCGTGCTACTGGTGCCCTTCTCCTTGCCATCCCGTCTGCGCTCATGCGCAACTTCCAGGCACGTCGCATCGGCTCCCGCCAGATCTGGCTCGAGCTTGAGGCAATGTTCGAACGCACCGACTTCGATGCTGTCGGACCGCTCTTCAAGGAATACTTCAGCATCACGATCGAACATAGTGCTGGCGCCGTTGACTACACCAGCCGTCTCCTGGACCTTGCCTCCCGCCTTGAGGCTCGCCAGACTACTCTCCCCCCCAACCTTCAGATCTACCGTCTCCTCGAAGGCCTCTCCCCTCAATATGAAGTGCGCGTCATTGCCTTCACTGAGGCTCAGCCCCGCGCCTCCCTTGACACTGTGGTCCAATGGATCATTGACGCTGAGGCCCGCCTTCTCTCAACCCCCCCCTCCGGCCTGAACTCCACCGCGTCCCAAAACCCCCAGCTTGCAGTCACACAGCCGCGTCGTGGCGGGCGCCCACGTGGCGGCCGCACCAACCCTCAGGGAGGGGGTGGAGGTGGCGGTTGTGGGGGCAGCGGAGCCGGCGGCGGTGGTGGCGGGGTCGAGGGTGGCAGCAGTGGTGGTGGTGGAGGCAGTGGTGGCTCATCTGGTAGCCGTGGTGGCCGCCCTGGCACTCTTCCCCCATGTTCCTATCTTCGCCGTTTTGGTCCCAGGGCGGGTGAGCGCTGCACCCAAACCAACCATCCCCCGCAACCTGCTTCAAGGCGTATGATGACGCCTGGTTCGAGCGTGGCAACACTGGCACCCCCCCACGCTGGTCTGCCATGGATCCCCGCCCCTCTCTCCAGGATGTCAAAACTCTTCCGTCTTTCCTCCCCTCTCATCTTCAGCTCTCCTCCTCCTCCTCCTCTGTCGCTGACCCCATAACTCCCCAGGAGCTGCAGCAGTTTCGCCGCTTCCAGCAGCTGCAGCTGCTGCAGCAGCAGCAGCAGTGGGGCTCTGGTGGTCAGGCTGCAGCCGCAGCTGCAGGAGCCGCAGCCGCAGCATCTGCATGGCAGCAGCAGCAGCTTGGCTTTGGCACCGCCGCCATGGCTGCCACAGCCACACCAGGTCCTCCTGGCTTTCCCCTCTGGGGCTCTCCTTCCCCTAGTGCTCCCGCCTCCCACTCCAGCTTTCTAGGCGAGCTCATGCGTTCTTCCCCTGCTTCCACTTCCATGTATCCCTCTGTTTTAATGCCAGTGATTTCCAGTACCCCGTGTCTTCAGCTCCTTCCTCGCTCACGATTGACTTTGTTTCTCGATAGTGGTGCCACTGAAACTGCCCTCAAAGACGCCGGCACCCTCACCTCCCTCCCTTTCCCCACCAACGTTCATGGTGCTGATTCCAGCTTCTCCATCCCTG